GTTATTTCCGCCTGCTTCTGAGCATAAACATGAACGTATTTGTGATAAATTATTTATGCAATCCGCTATCACTCTCGGATATTAATTAAATTACAAATTACTTTTCTGACTTGTTGGATAATGGCATCCGACATTTGGAGATCTAAAATTGAATTTAGGATTTAGAAGTTTCAAAAAGTCCATTTCAATGATTTGTAGAATTGAAGTCGACACGACGCCAGATCACTACAAGAAAAATATCGAGTAAGTTGAGTAAATTGGTTCGAATAGACCGCATAGGAAGAGATTTCATGTTTAATTACAATTTGTTCTCAGTCAGAGAACGTATAAAAATATATTTGTGTTGATGTGCAGCTGTTCGTGTACAGGGTTTCTCAAACTTTTAACGTTATCGTGTGCGTTTGAATGTTGACTATCATTTACGGAGCTCTACAATAAATATACCCCAAAAATTTGATAAACAATAAAAAAGTAGTGTCGAAATGTGGCAACAAGGCGGCAATTGAAATCTGGCATTATCTATTATAGCAAATGGTAACGTACACCGCAATTTATGTAAAGCGTGCCATGTTAGTGCGGCTTACGTAGTCACATGCATAGATTCTTTGAAATGAGGGAACCCGTTGTTAATGAGTACGATACAAAAGAGAACCCATTCTTAAAATATGAATCCCATTATTGGTTCGAGTAAATAGCGTATTCCATAATCAACAGTTGGATACACGATCTGAATAGCACTGAATTGGCTTTAAAGTCTTGGAACTGCACGTTGAACTGAGGTTATATAGAAAATCCTTTAATTTGTTATCGACATTAGATTGCCCTTTCATATTCACTGGTTGAACCTCTGAACATTTCTCAAAATTTCAGTTTGCACTCGTATCTCAATTTCATATTTGGAGCCTAGATAAATATTGTTTCACGTGTTCGTTTTATCCATCTCCCATACATGGCCGGTACCATAACTGGCACATTTCTCGGTCCGAATATCTCTTTCCGAAACCAGATCAGTTAATTTAATTAAAAACCTTTTATTTTATTCACTGAATCGTCTCGGAAATCGCGAGTGAAAAAAACATGTAAATTTGAGTAAAATTTCGACGTAAAAGTGGTTTGTAATCATGTCTAACGTTTTGTAAGTTTATTGTTATTTTTGCAAGCGCGTTGTTTATCTCGAACGATCGCGGTTTCTCGAAATCCATCAGTTCTTAAAGGGAACGTTGTGTTGTGATGTGTGTTGGTAATTAGCGAGATAAATTGGTTACTTAACAGGGACGAGGTTTTTGCCCATCTAGACTCGCAGGCCGCGTAAGTGTGACATGAAAATTATATTTTATGAGCAATTTTCACAGTGTTACAAAAGCAAAAGTGGAAATCAATAAGCCTCGTGCTGAAACTAAATTAAATCGCAATCTCAACAAACTCTTTGGGCTATTTTTAGCTAGAACAACAAAATTTGGTTTTACCTTGGCTGTTGAATCATCAGGCGGGTCAGGTTGAATTACGCAACGTTCTGGATTTGGCCCGCGGGCCGTAGTTTGTTCATGTCAGAATGGCTACATCAGTCGATACTATCGTACCCTCCCATTTTGTTCAGCTCAGGATAAGTTAGATTAGTTAGTAATATTACCAGAGCCAGAATGAGCAATGATCTGACATTACTATACGGGTAATATCTTGTTATTATTCCACCGCTAAAAGATAATTTTCGGATCGGTTTTCTTAGACCAGTTAGAATAAATTGCCCCTCCACTAATTTTTCATTTCCGCAATTTGAACTTTCTATTGCCGGAACTTCAGAAAGAACACTCGATATTAGATAAAAAATACAATCAAATAATTTTCGAAACGAGAAATGACAATTAGACCATGTTTTGAATTATAAATAACGAAATAAATTACATGCCATTTTGAAATGATTTGTTTAGGACACAAAGTTAACCTGTGTATCGATTTGCATAATTATTTATGTTGTTGTTGTCAAAAATAAACGAATTACTCGCAAGTAATAGAACAATTGAGTTTAAGTCAGAATCTGTCATCTTTTTGTCCTGTATTTTTCGTTTATTTTAATTCGAAATAACAAAATCGGATTGGAAAATTAGTGGCTTAGAATAGAATAATACAAGACTTTCCTTGTCGCAGGAATGTCAGTAGGTGCGGGCCAAAGATTTGAGCGATTACAGTCATTCCTATGAGGAAAATTTGAAGAGTAGAATAAAAACGCAATTGAAATATGTATGTCTGGAAAATCTTAGTCAGACGAAACTTACAGACATGCATTCGTGTTAGTTTGGAGAGGGACTCTTAATTGAATTGCATAGAATAGACATCTTTACTCTTGCTGCAGCATCCCTGCATTTTATGCATACAAAAACCACAGCGCATAAGCATACGGGAAGGATAAGTAGTTAGAGATAAGTAAGTTAGTTTGCGCCAGACTCTTGAACTGCATTGAATAGTCTTCTTTACTCTTGCTACAGCATCCCTGCATTTTATGCATACGGGTTAACCAACGTAAAAAAATAGAAAAAGAATATTCCTGCAGAAATCTAATCGATAGAGCAATAAAACAGATGCTATTATATTGACGTCGCGATAATTTAACACCTGAACTTCCCCTCGTTTGTATTCCCCTCGTTTCAAAGAACTTCCCGCCTTTCAAAGACCATTCGCCGACCGTTTGCCTTTCGGGCATAAACAATAATGTTTCCGTTCAACCTGTCATCTGTCATCGTTTTATTCGTATAGTTAGATCTTTCACAGTTTCGCATCGCAATTTATCCCAATTTTAAATTTTGTGATTGATTTTTGATGGCAAAGTTTATGGTGATTCAAGTTTAACACAAATCTCGACAGAAGTTTTTATTTTGCCTAGAAATGGCAGTTCGTATCATTTTTCTTCAAAAAAATGTTTTTAATTAAAATGTTTGAATATTTATTTAGGAGCCCGACCGTCACTAGTACAACTACAACAAATACATAGTAAAATATCTCCCAAAAACGACACATTTATCCCCCGGGAGGAATTACTCTCTAGTTGGGAAATGTTGCGGCGAAATGTATTGCTTTAATCGTCTTTAACAACTTTTGAATATCTGTCTACATGGGATGAATATTTGTTTTCTGATTTCAAACCCAATCCCGGACCCAATTCACAACCCTAGCGTGACCACAGCAGACCAAACATTTATGACTCATGTCGAGATGCAGCGTTTACTATACAACATAAAAAATAGGAAATTTATCTTGAAAATCTGCATTATTGAGGCGAAAGTTTAGTGTTAGTCGCATTGTTTATTGATTCAGGGCATTTAGTTTCAATATGAGCCCTGTCAAAGCAAAGTGTCAAAAAATTGTCAGTTAAATATAGAAAGAGTACTGATGGAAGAGTTGCAAGTTAGCTCAAAGCAAGGTCCCAAACCCTCAACTACAAGTGGAAAGTGTACTGAAAGAAGAGTTGCAAGTTAGCTCAAAGCAAGGTCCCAAACCCTCAACTACAAGTGGAAAGTGTACTGAAAGAAGAGTTGTAAGTTTGCTCAAAGCAAGGTCCCGATCCCTCAACTAAAAGTGGAATTTGTACTGATAGAAGATCAGCAACACACACACAGATGTGCTGCTATATATATAGTTTTTGAAAGAAGTTTACTTAGAGCAAGGTCTCGAACCCACAATCAAAAGTGAAAGCAGAATTATATTAAACTAATGATGCACTGGGAGCTACACATAGACAGAGCTGTGATTAGCTATTGGTTGATAAGAGACATGATACGATTCAAGTAAACACTGCCACAGAAGCATATATCTCATCTTCTAATCAGCTACAAGTGAATTCGAGTAACACTTCTGTATTTTTTTAACTCCTTCCTCTAATCGCCTCACGACCGTTACGCTTGGTTTCCGATCGTTTCAATGAAGCAAAATTGTCGCGTGCGATTTGTTGGTTAACCCGTTGGACACCACAGAGGATGTTGATTTGTGCTTCGCGAAATAAACAGCGTGTTCTTAAGGTCTTAAACTTTCCAAATTGCGAAAGGAAATTGTCGAAACCATGTATAGTTTTGTGGCTCACACAGGCCTATTAAATGAGGTAGAAACTCCAATCAACACTAATTGAAATAAAACAAGGATTAGGATATATTGAGAACTGACATCGTGACAAAATTGCAATTGCAACTGGACTTCACGAACGCTCGCTATTTCTTATTGGATTCCTCAATCCCCGGAATAAATTGTAGTTTGTGAAACACATTATTGAGACAGATTAACTAGAAGTATATGGTGAGTTGTGTCAGGATGGGGTTTTTAGTTCAGGTTAGGGCTTGAGTTGTGTCAGTGGGTGATCGTACATTCGAACTCATGTGTATATCCGCGGGTTCAATCTATATGCGGGTGCTAAAACCCCTAGGTTAGGGTTAGTGTGGGTTCAAATATCCGTAAAACAATTTTCATAAAAATTTCCATAGGTGCAATAGTATGCAGGTGAAATTGTCGTGGGTTCAAATGTAATGGAACCGTGCCAGTGTATTCGGGTCGGGCTAGGGCTGGGAACTTGCATTTTGTGAGAATCATACCGAGACAGACACTAACAGTGGTTTCCAACCTTTTTGCTGGAGCGGAATCCCATGAAACATTTCAGAGGTTCGCGGAACCCTTAATTGGAATTTCAATTATATTCTGAATTGTATAAACGTCAAATATATATAAAAGCAAACGTAATACTGACAAAACCAAATGATCTTCGAAGTTTAGAAAGTTTAATAAGAGTGGCAAACTTAATTGATAGTTAGTTGATCGAATTTTAAGAATATGCCTATAATAAAACGTACTCTCGGACTTGCATGTAACTTGCGAAACTTCTGGACTGTACTGACGAATACCCGATTGAAAACCACTGACATTTGAAATAAATATACTCTACTTTCTACTCCATGATCTCCGGCCACTTCATTGTTTTAGTATTTTAATACTAATTTATTTATTCACCATCTTCCAGATAAATTTGTAAAATGCCTTTAAACTAATATATCTGACGCGATGACAACACGACAATTATGGAATTTTGTAACAATTGTTCAAATGGAACTAATATTGTGACATCACCAAATGAAGCTGTGAATTTTCCATTATTGCAGAATAAGTCTGACTGTGATGTAATAACAAAATTAACAAAGACAATGAACTATTTTATGCGATATTTAAAAACGAGCAAAAAGTGGGGGCGAGCTTGCCCTAAATATTATTACCACTCCCCCCAGCGGATAATATTTTATTTATTATTTCTTCATTTACTTTATTTATCTTCAAACACCGAAGCGAGATTACAAGCAGGGACGAAATACCATTGGAAATCAGGTCAGTCTCAGTTGATTAATGATTATTCATTATTATACGAAGCTGAATCACGCATTTAGCTCCGATACTGTAGAACTGTACATCGTATTATACCATGTCTACCCAAAAATAAAACCTAGCATGAATTTTCAAATGGTTACATAAGCCTAAAATAAGACCTAGTCGATAGATAGAAATCTCTCCTACACGTTTTATTAAATGATTGATAACTTTATTTTAAATGAAAACGTGGTATTTATTTATAAAGAAATAGATAACGATATTCATATTTTGTATGTTTGAAAATCTCCCTAATTCTCTACTTGTAATTTTGTTTTTGATAAATGAAAATACAAGACATACCCCAAAATAAGCCCTAGTGTTATTTTTCGAAAAACTAAAAATATATATAAGACGACATAATCTTTTGGTGGTGCAATAGCGGTATAATGTCAATAACAGCTGCTTGTCGCGGGTTCCTTGTTAGTGACTCGTTCAGAGTAAAGGTGGGAGACGCGTCACAGAAAATGCTCATTTATATCCGGCAACACGTTCCTAACAATCTGTTGGTGGGGCGATAATAGGTATACAGTACTTGGATCTTTCCGGAACTCAGCACAACTTTTGTCCGGAACACCTACGCTTTTCATCTCGCCTCGCGAAACGCCGAAAAAAAAATTAGAATGCAAAATTGAAAGGTTGATTCAAATAATAGAAGCCTAAAGTAAAATTTGCTGTGAAAGGTTTGCTGTACGCTTTACAACTGAAAAACTAGGCCGACGGTTACAGATATTGGACAGGCAACGAAAACGCCAAGATGCCTGTCTGCCCGTTTAGATAGAAAGGCATGTTCACCTGTTTGTCGCCAGTTAGTATAAGTTTATTTCGACTCCATAATCAGCAGTAGACGATAAAATAATAGATAAAAAAAAAAACTGATTGTAAAATCGGGAGAGCAAACAAAACCCCAAATAAGGTTCGAAGCGTATATATTTTAGATGGAAAGTTATTGATAAAAAGAAGTAATACGTGTTCGCTCACCCAAAAGTATGAAAACAAATTTAAGCACGCACGCACACGCAGTTGGCGGACAAATTTACGACCCAGAGTCTGAGAAGTACGAAGTCGCAATTTCGATCCCTGTTTTGTGGAACACTCTGAAGAAGATTGCGGAACAGCAAGCAAATAATAAAGTCTGGTATAACTGGGATGAGATTTGAACCCGAGATTCCCGAACCTTCTGTCCATGGAATGCTCGTTTGTTGATAAACGTTATCATTGCATGTTGTTTTATCGGCGGAGTAAAGCAAACATTCCCACGCTATAACGTAAACTACTCCCATAGCGATTTGGTTTGGTCAATCAGATTCGAAGAGCTGTTCGTTAGCATTGTAAGTTCTTTATGAGCTGTTTTCACATCTTCACTCCAAACAATGCTTCGAACAAGCAGGTTACTTATATTCATATATTCGCAATAGTGCAATACGATCTTTGCGATGCCAGCAAAGTCAAACCCAACATTGTACTCGCTTAATACAGTGGTTTCTAAATTAAATGACCGGAGGCAAAAATTAGAAGCAGAAGGATATTCGCGGGCCAGAATCACATCTTTTTTGATAGAGCGAAAACCCAATGAAGCATTCCATATGCTTCTGTGCAATAGTTTAATTGTCTGAATTGTATAAACTATAAATATACATATAAGCAAACCTAATAACGGCAAAACAAAATGAAAGTGTAGCAAGTTTGATAAAAGTGGCAACTGGCAAACTTGGTAGGCGTTTTAATTTACATAATAACGTTTATAATATAAATATATATATGTTAACGTTTAATTCACGGATTCGAATGGAAAGCTGTTTAACCCTGGTGTTACTCTAACCCTGGTGGTGGTGGGAGCGTTTGCACGTTTTAGCAAGGTTTTTGGTCTTTTTTGACGGTTTGTGGTCGTCTTTGACTGTGTGGTCAAGTAGATAAGATCAGCGGATGGCGCATCGAGCAAAGCGTTGGGAATGCGCTTGCCACCACTAATCTGATTACCTTGTATGGGTTCGCAGGTTCGAAACTTGCGGTAATAATTTAGTGCAAGCGGCTTGTTGGGCTCATCGCCACTTAACCGCTGGTCGGTTATAGCCTCCTCCGCCACCATGTTCATGCATCTGAAACAACAATAACTGCCTTACTAATTCTATACCGGACATGGACTACTAACCGGATCAGAGCCCTTGGTTCTGTGTAAGATTAAACCGTCATATCTGATTCCGTATCCCTCGGGAAAGATCCGATCCTACCTTACAATGCAGAGAGAAAGGTGCTGTAGTTGGTTATACGCTTCTACAGTCAATCATACAAATACTTCACAGTTATCCAGATTCTGTTCACAATACCAAAACAAATTTTCTTTGTTTTTCAGGTTCGTGGGGGGAATGTGAGAGCACCTCTTGCGGCGAGGGAGGAGTTCAGATTCGTTCAGTCAATTGTGTCTATGCGAACAAGAATTGGTTGGTCGTGCATTCACATTGTGATGAAACAATCAAGCCTATAGATCAACGATCATGTTTTAAAGTGAGTTTATGCTTGGCCAAATATGCTTTTACAGAATTTTAATCGGTACCCCGCAGGAGCAGAGAGCTGAAAACACGGCCTAATCATATGGCGACCCACGGCCTCTCGTCCGGCCTTAAAGCCGGAGGAAGCCGTAAGATTTATCGTATTTAGCCATTACCCATATCCTGTCTTTCGAGTGATAACCCAGCGATGAGCATGATCTTCTATACAGGCCATATTGAAACGTCTCACCCCACTTTCCTCTCTCTATGTAGGGAGTTACTCGTTTTAATTATATCGTGTAGGAAGCACTAGTGATAAAGGACTGCGTTTATTCGGCTTCCCAAAAATTGCATGAATACCAGACAGCCTCGGTAAACTAAATTTTGTTCCGTTATTACAGGCAATGTAACGCCGAACTAGAGAGATCCTGGCCCGTGATCAAAATTTATACGCTAAAATTATTTTTTCGAATTTTTTTTTATTCACCTGGCTTTTCTCCTGACAATCTTAACCATAAGTGAATGTGTGCAACTTACTTATAAAATCTGCTTGCCTCTAGCCAGTGGCCAACTTTAAAATTTTAGGAGTGGGCTCTCTTTTTTTTGTATCGAACTCACTGACAACGGGTTCCGTCGTTTCAGAGAATGTATATCTCTACGTAAGCTACATTAACATGACACGCTTTATATAAATCTAATTCATACATTTTAAAACGCCAAATTTAACGCTAGTTGTGCTTGAAACTCATTTGCTGTGGCGTCTAACTTCCAAAATGGGAACGGGTTCGCTCAATATCACGTCTTTCCATGAACGGGTGCGCTACATCGCAGGTCTGACTTGCTGTATTGACCGAACTTGGTTTTGAAAGTTGCAAATTATTCATTCAGGTTTGCGCTGAGCATCGGGATAAGTACAGATGGAAGACTGGTGTTTGGCAGGAATGCCGATTAGTTGACTCACAACCTGTTACCGGTGAAGTCGAGGACAAATGTGGATTGGATTTCATACAAATCGGCTCACAAATAAGAAATATAACTTGCGTCGATGTGGATGATGAAACCGAAGTTATGGGCAACTACGTCTGTGGAAAGTGAGTAGAAATGACTTTCTATCGATTTGCGAGTTTTTAAGGCAGTCTGCAACAGTGGTTTCCGACCTTTTTCAATACATTATCCCTATTTGCCTCTTTATTCCAACCTCCTCGTGATAAAAAACAACTTTATTTATTCAATCTTATTGAATCCTTAGCTAGTGTTATGTGAAATCACATTGACGTTTTTGCACAGTTCAATTAGTTTATAATTTGTGCAAAAATAAGTATTATGGTAATAATTGAAAACTATAGTATATTAGTATTACTAGCTAGAGCTCCCCGAGAGGAATTACTCCCGTTTGGGAAACGTTCGATAAATCTTTTTTACTCTTGACTGAGTTCCCCAACTTGTTCAGAGATGAGTCTCCTTAATTCTGAGTGAGCGCCACTAACTTTGCTCAGAGATGAATCTCCTAAACTTCGGAGTGAGTGCCCGTAACTTTGCTCAGATATGAGTCTCCTTTACTTCTGAGTGAGTGCCTGTAACTTTGCTCAGAGATGAGTCTTTTTTACTTCTGAGTGAGTGCCCGTAACTTTGCTCAGAGATGAGTCTCCTTTACTTCTGAGTGAGTGCCCGTAACTTTGCTCAGAGATGAGTCTCCTTTACTTCTGAGTGAGTGCCCCTAACTTTGCTCAGAGATGAGTCCCCTTTACTTATGAGTGAGTGCACGTACATTTGCTCAGATATGAGTCTCCTTTACTTCTGAGTGAGTGCCCGTATTTTTGCTCAGAGATGAGTCTCCTTTATCTCTGAGTGAGAGCACGTACATTTGCTCAGATATGAATCTCTTTTACTTTGGAGTGAGTGCCCGTAACTTTGCTCAGAGATGAGTCTCTTTTACTTCTGAGTGAGTGCCCGTAACTTTGCTCAGAGATGAGTCTCCTTTACTTCTGAGTGAGTGCACGTACATTTGCTCAGATATGAATCTCATTTACTTTTGAGTGAGTGCCCGTAACTTTGCTCAGAGATGAGTCTTCCTTAATTCTAAGTGAGAGTCCGTAACTTTGCTCAGATATGAGTCTCATTTACTTCTGAGTGAGTGCCTGTAGAATGCTGCTCAGATACGAGTCTCCTTCGTTTCTGATTGAGAGTACGTTACATTGCTTCGATTAAATTATCATAAAAATTGCTAATAAACGAATCCATTGACATTCCAGGTTCAGCTATCCTCCGGATAATTCAAGATATTGCGACATACCCTGCCCCGTCAATTGTGTGACGTCACATTGGAGTCAATGGAGCACGTGTTCCAAGTCTTGCGGGAACGGAACGCAGTACAGGGTGAGAGTTGAATGAATTCTCATATTTTTCATTGGACGTATATTTGAGAGATATGAAAAGAATGATTCTTTACATCATTGGCTCCACTTGATGGGCAGTGAACGTCTTGTGTAACTTCCAAAAACGGGCTTGACGTCTATAAAGCATTTAAATATTCCTCAAGGAGGCTTTTAAAAATTAGGATAATCAGTGAGAATAAACTATTTTCTTTTTTACTATTCAACCTAATAACGATGAAATAAATCTTATTCTATGGTGTATACGAGTCTGATTAAATGACAACGAACATGGCAGATGATGACCGTAGGGTCGTATCGTATGTCCTAACTTGAAACTTAGTCGTACTCGTTACTTTATCTTAGTTAGCGAAACAAAAATTTCTCTTAATCTTCGTATTCAAAATGTATGGAATAGTCGTTGTTTATGGATATCAAACGACTGTATATTACATTCCGGATGAGATGGCAGATTTGAACTCATGATCAATAATCTTAGATGTCAACAACTTTCCCGCGCAATCCATTAGACAAGAGTGTATACTAAATACGGCAGCGATTGATGTAACGCTCCCGGCAACTTTTACAGACTCGCAATGTGTTAACTAAAGCCGAGTATGGAGGATCAGATTGCCCGAAGCTTTCCTCGGTACGCCCTTGCCCAACACCGCCACCATGCGACCCGATTCTTGTAACTTTCTTCTCTGTAACGCATGTTCTGAAATTCGGGAATTGGACGACTTGCAAGCCAACGAAACTTGAGGTGAGGTTGGATTTGATTGTTTTAATTGGAATGAGAATAACCGACAATTCTGTCGTACACGATCGTGATATTTTTGTCCTAGTGCCTACTATCTGCAAAGATTGGGCACAATCGCTGGTTACAGCGTTCGTTATAAACCTTTATATAGGTTTTGCCTGTTTTCCCGATCTTTCAGTTGACCTTGTCTGTGTTCTTTTTATTTGTGTTGTAGACGAAAGATCGAAATAAAATTGTATTGTATTGTATTAGATATTCACGTATTTGCGATCAGTGGAAATTATTAATATATATATATCTGATAAATCGACGCATTACAAATGCCAGGGTTGGTCTCGAATAAGAACGAATAAAATCAAAAGGAACTTTGGGAAAGACAGTAAAAATTGAAAAAACTATCGTATTACTATTATTCTTTAGTTCTTTGTTAATATTATAATACCGTACTTAATTAATCACACATTATGAACTTTACAAACACAAAACTTCGTCTTGCGCATAACCATAGCTAAGGTTTCATTAAATAAATAAAGAAGTTTTCATACAAAAAATAGGAGAAGGAAGGTATATACCGAAAAATATTGGAAATTAATGAATTAAAACATTCCTTCAATACACGCAGGTTGCAACAGCAACGGGAAGACGACGTTCAAGTCGGAAAGAAATCAGGCGTCGTCTATCTCAGGTACAATCATCTCTGATTGGGGGAAGAGGGCGTCACATGACCTGTTTGAATGAAGATGGTGAATCTGTCGGCGAAAGGTTGGTCATTCTTATTGCGTGTTATTTGTAATGACGATTTGTATACATTTGCTTTGAAAAAGTCTCTAGCTAAGGTACATAAATATTTATAGAGCCACTTGCAACTAAGTGTTCATAGAATATGGAGCTACTAGTTGTTGCTAGACGGAAAACTTTCTAGTTCGGCCTACACGCCTGACCGATTTATTACATTGTGGACGAACATATGATTTATATCTTAACTTCAGATGTAATGCGATAATAACTTTACTCGCCAATGCCTTACTTCACCTAAGCACGAGGTATATTTCAGTAATGTCATTTCAATAATGTCGCCCTCGGGGCACTGGTTCCGTCATTATATAAGTTGAAACGTATGGATGGAACACAATATACAAAGAACTACTTGCTACTAAGTGTTGATAGGCCGGAACCTTTCTAGTTCAGCCCAAACGTCTAACCGATTTATACATTACTAGGTGGTGCATTTCGGGTTTATATTCAAAATCTTGCCAACGTGGATGTACGGTAACCGTAAGGCCATGGTACGGCTACGCTATATATTTGAGCTGTCTTATCGACTGCCAGCTTACAGTTTAAATTCCAAAGATGAATCCTTTTTGCAGTGTCATGATTGAGGAAACCTGCACTGTGACTCAGCATTGTGAAGTCAGACCATGGTCAGAATGGTCAAATTGTTTTGCTCTGTGTGGAAAGACTGGGAATCGAACCCGTACCCGCGAGATTAAAATTCTTCCCAGCGGACCAGCAGCAGATCCCTGCCCTCCGACTGAGGAAACAAAGAACTGTGATGTTGATTTGAATCATATGACCAAATGCAGCGGGTAAGCAATTCTTTGCATTTTTTCCAGGGGAGATGAAATCTGCAGTGATGCTCTACCTCAATTTTGTAAAATTCAGCAGCCGTTTGAATTTCAGTGATTGCTCTGTGCTCGCGAGTTTGCTCAAAGATTTGTTTTCTATACTTTTAACGTTTTAAGTAAGTGTGTGTGACCTTGTACGGAAATGAGTCTCTTTTACTTTCGAGCGGCTATGATTGAACTCACTCATGGATGGTTTATTATACATAGGAGTGAGTTCATGTGACCGTGCTCAGAATAGAGAATCTGCACTTAAGATTGAGTGCGCATAACTAGCTCAGCGCTGAGCTCCCCCCAATCCTGTGTAAATGCCTGTAACTTTGCTTCTCTGTGTAAGAGTAATTTGCTTTACAAAAATTCTTTTCAAAAACTTCAATCTTTTTTTTTTTCCAGGTACACGTGGGTGACAGGAGGTTGGGATCAGTGCATAACGATTGATAACGCAACATGTGGTGGAGGAATCCAGACAAGATACGTTTACTGTGTTGTGAGGAATGAATTCACAATATACAAGGTGTGTTTTATATATGTTCGGCGACACAGTGGTTAATCTGGAGACTCTGTTTGATTAGTAGACTGGATATCTCAGTCCGAGTCCTGCTTAATTTTTATGATCATATGGATTTATTTGGGGTTTTGCAAATTCATTTTTTAGCATAGTTTATTTTTTATCAGAAATTTTCTGGTAGTCCCCTAGTGTTTGTATCAGGTTAGGCCATAATTTTATTTCGATTTTCCTTATTTCAGTTCTATTACGAGTTCGGGTACTGTCTGTGTTAGCCAAGTGAATATACCTCCTGCCCATAGCTTCCAGTCCCTTTACACAACTTGATGTAAAGTAGGCGAACAAAATTAGTTACTTCCATATTGGTACACATACTTCTGGAGCGCCGGTTTTCATGCCTTTGCTCCAAACACGACTCTAGACTAGATACCTTGTTTGAGAAGTGGAAGTTGCTTATTCGCTAGGACCTTGGATTTTTAGCCTGCAATGTCATAATCAGTTAAGTGATGTTTTGTGTAAATTGACATTTGCTGCTGAATAGATTAAATGTATAAAACCCAAAATTGATCAATCATAAAACCATTTGTGCGGATCCCAGTTCATTGCCACAACTATTGACCTTTAACCTTTGTGCATCCCATATTTCAGGCTTCAACTGCTGTTGCGTTAGGAGGTAACGATGGGTTGAAGGAATGGGCAAAACTGCAACCAGTTCATGACTCTTTCTGCAATGAGGTTCGTGATTGGCTATTTTTTCATTTTAGTCAATACGGACAAATCAACGGGCGGCAACCAACATGCCTAATGTTAAATGAGTCTATCGACGTCCTTTTTTGCTTAGTTTGAAAAACGCAGAACAGTGGGGTCCAATAGAAGTTTTTTGCTGTGGTATTATAGCGAATCATATAAGTCAGCTGTTATAGGGACTAGAATGAATTCGAAGGTTGGATTTTGAACTTCAAACTATTCAAATATACAACGAATTTTAGAGTGACAAACTATCAAAAATTCCCCTTGGAATTTTACCTAAAATGTTAGTGATAGTAATAGGTATGTTTCAATAGTTGTGTGCGTAATTCCCGTAAGGCGGTTAGATTACTGGAAACAATGAGCACAAATGGTATCAATTGTTTGAGCGTTGCCTCAATTGTGTGATATAATATTCGCTTTGATTTTTATAACAGGTCGCTGCTAATCAGTATTGATTTTTCACATCTCTCATCACCCAGAAATGCAATATTTCAGTTTATTTCAATTTTTGTTTGTCCGGCTGTCTCGCAATATAATCCTCATTTTTGTTTTCAGAACTACAAACCATTCATGTGGCAGGAATGTGAAGTTTTGTGCTCAGGCATGTGTGAAGTAGGGGAATGGTCTGATTGGTCAGAATGTGCTCCGGACAAATGCCACACCCCCGAGAACATTTACTTCCCTGAACCCCTGAGAACAAGTCGAAAGATTCAGAAGAACGCTTTCAAGCGCCGAATGAGGAAAATAGTGGAAGGTTCTGATAGAGATGGATGCTCTCACACCAGGGAGGTTATACCGTGCGAGGAAACAAGGTGAATAGTGAGATTTATAATAGACTCAAAGTTAGACATACCCGATTTGCCTTGGAAAGACTGCATTGTTGATTGCATTGCATTGGCTGACCCACTTTGAAATTTACTACACAGTTGACTCAATGTTATTTGCATGTTGCTATCACATTACTGGCGAGATAGATTGTGCATAGTGCAAAGCATTTGGAATGTCATTGTTTGCCACTGAACTCATGATTATTCTGTGTGGGTTCGGATCTCACGCGGGTTTAATTATGTGCGAGAGGATTGGCGGACTCCTCGCTGATGTAGGGTGAGTGGTTTACGTAACTGCTGGTCAGTTACGACCTACTCCACCATCAAGTCCACGTATGAATAGAAATATTTTTTGCAGACAAATATATTGTCCATCCCATACTTTCAAGAACATTGCATATAGATTGATGATAATTACATCAAAATATAGTTATTGGAATATTGTAGATATTGGCAATCAGTTTATTACATCTATGATTATGTCACTCACTGAAACTGAGGCCATGATGGTAAAACCCGTTTTATCTGTTTCTTTCATGCTGTTCACTGATGACAGAAAATAACCCGAATTATCTTTTTGTTGCAGATGTTTTCACTGGCACCCAGTCTCTACTTCCCAGTGCCAACCATTGCAAGGAGAGTGCGGGACTGGAACCCAGGACCAACAGATTGTATGCAGAGATATGTGGAGGAATATTGTTGATGCGGAGCATTGTTACAGGTGTGTGAGGGGCGTGGTATTTCAATATGATGCTCAATTAAGTGTGTGTGTTCCCGTCATGGAGTTTATATGTTTGCTTCGAGTAGCCGAATTCAAAGGCTCACGACGCCTGCATTGTAAGTCTAACGCTATGGTTATTCCTGTAACAAGTCATACCTTGGTGATATGGCGCATCTTCCTAAGAATTACAAATACGCTTGACATCGCACCTTTGATTACAATGCACAGGTTTGTAGGTTCGAATACCATGAGGGATAATTATTTGTAAGGGAATAGCTGGATTACTCACTGCTGAAGGGTTGGTGGTTCACGTAACTGCTGGTCGGTTACATCTTCTTCCACCATTTAGTCTATGCAGCTGAAAAAAATAACTAGATGAGAGGCGTAATTGCCATACGATTATGCTGTCTTATGTCCTTTTCTCTCCCTGAGATGAATATGTGAATCCCATGGTGATGTGTGACTTTCCTGGACATATTGTTTGTATGCACTCAGGTTCTTATTGTATTTTTCCATTATTTTTATTATTCCCTCCATTTTTGTCCCATGAAGACTTTTATCATCCAAGTTCATGCATCTGAAACGAATTATTGGGTAATTATGGCCAATTTGGTCACCGTACTAGAAGTCTATTATTTGCCATAGAATTAAGTATTCTTATCAGATTTCCTCTACCCTGGGAAAATATGAAAATCCTAAGTATTCTCATTAATCAGAAAACCTGCAGCTCATCCAATCAACACTACGTTGGATTGCTTCGTTCCTTGTTCGTCAGATTGCGTGGTCGGAGCCTGGAGTAGTTGGACTCCTTGCACACATACATGCAAGAGAGGAAAAAGAGAAATGGAAAAGCAGACAAGGTGAGAAATGTTAATTACAAGGATTAGTTGGATTATAATTTGCATAATGTTCACCTATACTTTCAATAAGTATTAGCAATTCAGTCGTTACTGAATGCTGATTGTTTGAAGATCAACAAATAATTACACAGCTATACCTTTTCTGGTAATATTTATTCTCGTTTTAGTACTTTTTGTGGAATTCATATTTGAGGCCTCTTAACCGGTTTTAAAACTCAAAATTTATTTTCTCCCTACTGCAATTGTGATGCTTGCTCTAGAGTTTCCTGTCCTGGTAGAAACTTTCTTAGGGGTCGGTCGACCTTGTTGACCTTGAAGTCTTGCCAAAACGCTTATCACAATATGTCACCCAGTATTCTATAACTTTTAATTGAAGTTGCTTCGTACTTAACTTTGAGCAAAATTATCTAAATGATTAGTAATGAGCAACATTTTATACTCTTTTCTCTCCTATGAAATGATTTTTTCCATTTTTTGATGCAAAGGAAACAACGGTTGTCCAAAACACAACTAAGGTTCGTCTGAGTGTTGTAGACTATCGAGGGTGAAAGGTCAAATCAACTAACGTTCTGTTTTAAACTGAAATTTTGCTAAATAACTCTGATGAAACAAACCATTACTTGTAAATTAAATTTTTCAATCCCTAACCTTTCGATCTGAAACTCTGCTAACTGACCGAAAGACTATAATTTAAAACCTTAAATGACATTTAATCAATATTTATATAAACCTATTATACGTAACAGTTTAAAATGAAAAATTATAAAAACACAGGAATAAGCATTCTTGTTTCCTGGTTGCCATGGCTTGAACTTTTACCCTTGACCTTTCATTTTGTACCCAGGATGTGCCCTTGGGTTTTAGCAATTTATGTTTGTGATAGAAAGATGTGTATTTTTGGTTCATGTGTGGATCTTGACTGAAAGACCATAATCTTTCAATGCTTAATTAGTCTTGACTAATACTTGGACTACCCTGTGTGGTTATATTTGTCAATATGCTGTTTAAACATGCATTATTGGATGATGTTAGCTCTTATTTTGTAGCGAATTTGATTAGTTGTTTTATATTTTAAATTTGAACTAGTTGACATGCATATAATGAATTTTAGAAGTAGCTGGATTTCTCTTTTTTGTTATACTCGACATCCTACCAATACCACGTTGAATCCAATCGACTTAACCAACTAAAATGACGCGAATCATCTAAATTAAATACTCAGATTCATGTTCAATTAATTTCCAGTAAGAGATAACTCGTAATCGTCTTGACTTGAGACTCGAATGAAATGTGACTCGACTTTACTCAAGATTTGGGATCTTATACCAACACTGTGCTGGATTCATCTTATAGATTTGTTACAAACTGCTTAGTCGTGGTTCTGGACTGATAAACAATTAGCCAAGTCTTGAATCTTGTTTTTTGATTGGCCATGGCAATTGTAAAAGTTGTGTAGTTATCCCATGCTTTATTTCTGCAGGGTTTTGTTCACAGAATTTTCTTTTTATCATTTTCTTCTTGTTGCTAGCTAACCATTATTGATTTTATATCCTTCTCACCCTGAAATATCATCTTATAGTTTATTTTTACATTCTGTGATTCAAAATGTATTTCATTCTGGTGAAAAAGCAACAAATTACTAGTTAGCCTCTGTTACTGACTTGTTGTCAAAGATATAATATAACAATTGTTCATATTATACCACTTCTTTAGTTGATATTTCAAAAAGCGTTTTCATACTTTGAACTTTGAAGTCAACTGCTTTCCAGGTTCCGTGAAATATTGGCTAATCCTGGTATTGGAGGAAAATCTTGTCCATCACGTGCAATGCTACAGGAAAGCAGGTCATGCAACCAGCACAAGTGTTCGGTTTACTACTGGGATGTTGGGCCTTGGAGTGTTTGCCAAGTAAAGGACAGTGTAACGCCTACTGTGAGTCTAGCATTGATTGGTTTGAATGAATATGCTAATGACAACTGGCCAAACTTATAGCTATATCCAATGACTCAATACCAGGCCATGTGTAATTGCTTTCATTGTCTAGAAAGCTTTGTGAGTTCCAATCTACAGCACTCCAATCTCCTGTGTGTGTGATCTATATTTTGCTGAATTACCCTTGATCGCAACCAATGTCGAACCAGTTATTTCAAGTTTTTAGTTATTGATAAGAAAAATGTGAAGGCTGTTACTAGTCCTCTAGAGACCCATATGTTACCCCATTTTTTTTATTCATATGCTCATCTTTATATGACACTTAGTACAACAAGATTGACATTTCGTATGATATTTGGCTTGATGTTTGCTGTAATCGCAATGGCCTTTTTATCCGATCTTTGTGGGTATATATTTGACCACGGCTCTTATGTGGTGTCAAATCATTATCTCTAAACACGGACTTGACAAAGGGCCACTTGGAGTTTGTTAGATCTTTGGCTGAAGTAGTGGGCATGAGATTTAGACCGGATAGTAAGCTACGATGCTAGCATAATGAGGTTGAATCCTTTAACCACTATACCATCTTCTAAACCAGGGGCGTGCAACCTGCAGCCTGCGGGTCAAATGCGCCCGCAAGGAAGAATTGTTCGGCCTGCAAAAAAGTGCCAATTATGAATGGTGTGCGGCTCACGAAACGGTTTATCAGTTTGTTTGAATTTTTTGTGACTGCAAATATTGAAAAACTATGTTAAATAAAGGTGCTGTCCGCAGTTTCAATCAGTTATTTGTATCTGGACCTCTTGTACTGAAGGTTACACACTCCTGTTCTGAACAGAAATTTATTTGCAGGCTCCTGCTGTTGGGATCCGCACTCAAGATATGTTCATGGCTGATGACGGGAACAACACTAGTGGGCAGCATAAACCTTTTTATTTTCCTCCCAATGATAAAGAACTTGTGTGCGGTGTTGGTTACCAAATAAGAACTGTGAAATGCAGAAAGAAAGACAGTGGAATCGTGCAGGACAAGGTTAGAGTTTTAAATTTCTGTAAATTGTGTGTTTTGTGAATGTCAATTATATTGGATTTCTAAAATGGTTGAAATTAGGAATATACAGGCAATTCATGCCTTTACGGCTGCATTTTGATTCGTTTTCCTCACTATGAAAAGGGCTCTGTACGAGAAGGCAATGGTAGGTTGACTATTGGGAAAAGATGTAATATAAAAAATCAAATTTTACAGATGAAAGTTAATTTTATTCACTAAATTAAGAATATGTAGTAATTAGTGTGAAAAAATGAGTATAGGGTGTCCATAAAGTCTTGAATTTTTTTAAAATTGCAAAATGAATTTATAGATACCATACATTGTTTTGGCCCTCACAGATATATCAAATGACGTAGAAATACTTAAACAATTACTGATTAAAATACAAGAAACCTGGTTAAGATATAAATTGAGAACTGACTTCATAACAAAATTGAAATTGTAAAGGGTCTCCATGGACACCCTGTATTTTAATCCAGTATTAGTAAAAGTCAAGCGGATATTTGAAATATTTATAACTGTACAAAAGCCACAGTACAGGTTGTGCATAAATCTAGTAGCCAACTTTATGGACACCCTGTGTTCATGCAATATTCAGTAGTATAGAAATTTGCAAAACATTAGGATATCTCTATTTGCTTTTATGTTTGCTCCATCATATGGCAGTCTATCAAATAGAATTAGCATTTCTTCATAAGTTCAAAAGTTTTTTGCCATTACCATCAATGCAACAGTTTAAATCCTCGTGTCAGAAATTTTCCAAGAACGTTAGTTATGGTAGCTGTTTTCTTTGTCCTATTAACTCAAGACTTGAGTCAATTGGTATTCGATACCGCATAATTCCCTGCCAGCTCATTTACTTCAGAGTGAATGCATATACCTCTCGAAACTTTGCTCAGGAATGAATTTCTCTATTTCTGAGTGAGTGCCCATATCTTTGCTAATAAATGAGTCTACTCTACTTTTGAGTGAGGGCATGTAACTTCGTTCCGAGATGAGTCTCACTCACTGAGTGAATGCGTGTGACTCTGCTCAAAGATTGTCTCATTCACTTCTGAGTGAGGGCATGTAATTCTGCTCAGAGATTAGACTCTTTTTCCTTTGAGTGAGTGCCCATAACTTTGCTCAAAGATTGTCTCCTTCACCCGCCCATAACTTTGCTCAAAGATTGTCTGCTCCACTTCTGAGTGAGTGCATGTTACTCTGCTCAGAGATGAGTCTACTTTACTTCTGAGTGAGTTTTCGTAACTTTGCTCAAAGATTGTCTCCTTTACTTCGGAGTCAGTTCGCAGGACCTTGTATTGAGCAAATTTGCATTTAAAAAGAATTATTGGTTATTTCAGCTTTGTGGAAGCAAACGAATGATGCCTTTGATAACCCGAGATTGCACGTTTCCTTGCCCGAAAGACTGTGTCGTTTCTGAATGGGGAGAATGGACAAGCTGTGAGAGAGAATGTGAAAAAGTAGCAAAATCAGGTCAAGGTGGGTTGGGTTAGGAATCATATATATATTTCTGGTTCAGCATTGCCCAACCAATTCATTTGATGGTGGCGAGATGGCCTAGCGGTTTTGTTGACTTAAAGATCACACATGTCTCCAGGTGTAAATAATAGAATAATTGAGCCTTTTCAAAATACCTTTTGCTCCATACTGATCATGAAATATTAGTGTCAGCATTGTCAAGGCCTGTGGATCAGTAGGCAAGAGTAAACATCATTTAAAAAAGAATTCGGGTGAACTTGTTTGATCTTCAGATTTAAAACCCCCATATCTACAACCTGCGATGCAAACATAGAGAATAGATTCTCTCAAATCATGACTCATTTGACTTGCTGACTGAAATTCATGTAGAAGATTTTAACTAACTTACAAGGTATTTTTAAACCGGGGGAGAGGAAAGTCAATATGGCAGCTCTACCCTGGGATAAATATGTAAATCCTATCCTATCCTTATCATGTTCTGTGAAACGACTAAAACCCACTAAACCATGCAGGATAACCAGAGGTGTTGAATTCCGTGCTTTTTATCCCATAATGATATCCCTCAACAACAACTAAATTCCCTTCTTGAATTTCTCATCCCCGCATTGAGTAAGTTACAAGTTTGATCCTTATGAATTTTATAATTATAATTAAACCCTTAAGCTTTTCAAAACAAAAGTTGGTAAAATCAGTTTGCAAAACATAATTATCTCTGTTCGAAATGTTCAGGCAGTCAAGGGCCAGTGTACCAAGAGCGACATCGAGTGGTTGTACAGCATCGTACAGGCAGAGGAACGCCATGTCCGATTGAAATGAAACAATCCAGACGTTGCCTGGAAACAGAGAAATGCATGCTGTTCAGGTAACCTACTTTTATGTTTCAAAACTAATGTTTTTGTAACTTAGTTTACTCGGTCGTTGGCGCATTGACCTAAGCTTACGAGACACGCTTCCGGAGACATCGTAAGACGCTTACGAGACATTATCCCTCAAGGGGTAATTATGGGGTTGTTGAATGGGGTGGTTCACTTAGTTGCTGGTCGGTTACGGCTTCCTTCGATACCGGTACCAATTCTATGCATCTGAAATGAATAACTTGCTAACTAATCCCATATCTAACATGCAATGGTAACGGGATTAGGGGAATTGGGACGTAGTATGATAAAGTCGTCTCATCGACTTTCCTTAAGATAACTATAAAATATTTACCCTATTGGAATCGACCTCCTTTGACTTACCAGCGCGGCGTTGTGGCTCATCATGCTAAGCGTTATGAATATGTTTGCCACCGCACCTCTGATTCCACTGCGGGGGTTCGCAGGTTCGAATCTCACGCAGGGATAGTTATGTGCGAGAAGATTGCTGAACTGCTCGCCGCTATAGGGTGGTTCACATAACCGCTGGTCAATTACGGCCTACTCCACCATCAAGTCCATGTTTCCGAAAACAAATAACAACTAATCTCATACCTGGCATGGAAGGGTAACCGGACGATAGGCCGTGGTTCGTCATATGGTTAAGTCGTAGTATCAGCTTGCCCCCAGCATTTGCAGCTGGGCTATCTCTCCACAGAGCGGCCTGTAATCTAGTATGTGCTTCTCTGAGCTGTATACTTTGAATGTAATTGACAAAAAGGTTTTTGAATCCTTTTTCTTTTTCTTTTGTATTAAAGGTGGCGAGTTGGTAAATGGTCTGAATGTGTCAAAATTGCTGGTGCATCATCAGTATATGGGGAAGCCAATGCGGAAGAAAAGGAGGTCAAATGTCAAGGTGCAATGACCCGCAAAATCCAATGCAAACAATATTCATCTTCTGGTGAAAGCATGTCTGTTGAACTGCGGCTTTGTCTTAAGGTTTGAATCAGTCTGTATTCTTTTTATAGTGGCCTACCTTTTAAAATGATTGTGAAAGTTCATCATTGCCAGAGATAGTAGCTGCATGAATTAAATTGTTTGCTTAATAGTTTTAAAATTATTAAAAGTCATCAAATGAAATGTTTTTTGCCATCAGGCATTGATTTATATCTAGGGAGTTACGTTCAAACCAGGGATGGCCATTTCCGAATACTAAACTATTCCGAATACATTCTAAAATAATGTTTTCGAATCTGGAATTCCGAATACATTCTAAAATCGAAAATAACACATTTTTGTTTTAGTTAAATTAAAACCCAGTAAATTAGGAAATAAGCTTCAATAAAAATATCAGAATGAAGCCACAAACCAACAGTATATGCACACAATCTAATTGATAGTTAATAGCTATCAATAAAAAATAATAGCAACTCGTGACACAGTCAGTTTATTAAAATTATTCACTTTGTACAAATGGCCATATGAAAAGATAGCCAAGGAGTTGTCTGACGCTTTCTATCATTGGTACCATGATATTACGATAATAGTCAAGTCTATTGACAAAAATACTACTTGTATTCAGATAATTGTGTATATTTTCTGAGAGTAATAAAATTTATTGGCAATACAGGCAACAACAATCGAAAATCCATTATGCCTTTAAAAATTCTAATATTTGAGCCTGAGGTATTCTACTACCTACCAGTATATTTGTATAATAATTTATGTGAACCATATTGTTATTATGTGTAACATATTGTTGTATTTGAAATTAGGAATAAATTAGTCGAGAATAGATGACCACCACTGCTAGCGCGCAGCCAGGATTTTCGAAATTGGAAATTCCCATTGCCGCCTGTAACACCCACCGCGATTTCGCGCTCGTTAAAAGAGCCGCCTTTTCAGAGTATAATGATCATTCTGTATTTCTGTTACGTAAAATATTCAATCCATGACAACTACGAGATTCTAAAATATCTTTATATAATAATTTAATGTGTCCAACGTAACTCGCGGTTGCTTCTTCTTACGTCAAAAAAAAACGTTACTATTCGGTCCACGGCGATCTGTGACCTAAAATTACCAGATAAACTGCCTGATGTATTTAATTTTAATACGTATTTTTGCAATCTTGCCAACTCGTTATCGCCGTTAGGAAAATCTCAAATAATTATATAAAACCCTGTTAAGTGTATACATATTGTATTTCATACAATGAACATACATATAAAGTTTAGCAGTGAATTAAAAATACATATTCATCGCCGCGATTATGCCACCTGTTAAAAGAGTCGACTTTCACAACAAATAATATAACAACGAATATATATTTTTCTGTTGTGCTAAGTGATGAATTCGTGACCGACACGGCATATTTAAAATGTCTTGCTTTATTAATTTAATTGTCTTCAATTTAACTTGCGGTTGCGTCGACAAAATAAAATCCTCACCACTCTTATATACCATTGCAATCCGCGGTTATAAAAATAAAAACGTGAGGTAAACTGTCCTATTAAATAGTGTTTTGATCCGTATTTTGCGAATTGGGCAACTATTTAGATGTACTTGTTTACAGTGACTCCGCTCGATCGAAATGCTGCCACTCTGATTATTTCTAGATAAAACCGTTCGAAAAATCCATAAATATGCAGTAATATCTCACTATCTCAGAGTAATATTTTTTTCATCACAATAAAATTGATTGAATATACTTTAGATTAATTATATTATATACATCCTCACAACCCGGGAAAAAGTCGCATTCCAAACCTTGTATCGTGTTAAGACGGAAAAAAAAATAACGAATAAAAAAAAAAAAAATCAGGCAAATCACGCCCTCAATTAGCGATGATATGTTTCTAAACGCCGACCAAACATAATGTGTGCCAGAGGCACACGATATTTTGCGATTTTCACTGCCTAGAAAAGCGTTTTTTAAATTTACGCGGGCCTCAATAAAACTTATATCGTTTACGGTTTTATTTTCAGTATTTTAAATTGCCGCTTTTCAATCAAAAAGTTGCGTTGTCTTTAGAAACCTGCCGCCAATGAACGTATTTACCAGATTCACAATTCCGTGCACGTATAAAAATAAAATAAATGTTATCGTTATCGTGGAACAAATTTGTGGAAAATTTTCGTTTTAGAGAAAATAACACAATCGTAAAGGCGTTTACGGCCTAAATAACACGTTACGCTGATGAGTGATGAAAACAATCACGCGCAACTTTCTATCGAGAATGTTTTCATTCAACGGAAACGTCTTGAAAGCGGCGTCGAAAATGTGTGACGTCACACAAATATCCGATATTCTTATGAACGTGAATTCCGATATTCGAATGACGAGATATTCGAATAATTTATTCGAATTGGCCATCCCTGGTTCAAACAATATTTTACGCTATTGAATGTGAAATCTTAGAGGTTATTGAGAATCGTTCTAGACACCTTGGATATGAACATTGTTTGTTTTTAGATTTTTTTCCCCCCATAAAGTTGTCATCAGGGCCCGAACTCACTTTAAGCTTGTTGACCTTGTATGCATTCATCCCTACTCGCCAATAATTCAATGCAGTATGCTCTCATGGTTTTCTTTTCGTGTTTACAAAAGGGTGGCAAATATTTTGTTATCAATGTTAAAACTATTTGTTATTTATAAAGATGTATTTGACCGATTATTGGTGCTGGTGTATACATCAGTTTCTGTATATTCAGATTCAATTTCATTTAAGTTAATAAATAAAGTGTTGTGTCACACATAAAAAAACGTGGGGGGCTTGAATTTTAGGGGGCTCATTGCATTATATGCGGGTGTATGGGAATTCCTTGATTTCATGTAAAAACATTACTTTTATTTGAAATTCTCGTATATGACAACCGATCTGTACACAACAACCTAAGCCTTCTTCCGGTATTTTCAGTACGCCGATCGTTCAACCCCCGAAAGCAGCAAACACTGCCTCATTGAATGCAAAGCCGATAAAGCTTTTGCTAGATGGCGAGAGAAGGTTGGTTGCCAGGCCGATGCAAAAAAGCTTGAAACCATCGAGGAAATCTATGGAATGCAGATAAAGTCTTCTGACACCGGGTTAAAATACATTACAATGCAAAAGACTGCAAAACCAATTGGTCGCTGGTCATCGTGTAATATCACTAAGGTAGGTTAAACTTATATATAGTAATGCTTTGAGAAAACTCATGTTGAAAAACGTTTTCAGGGACTGGCTAATCACAAAGTTAATTTACCTAATTTCCTTAATATTCAATGTATTAATAAAGCACCAACTTTCACATAAATAGAGGGAATGTCATTCACAAAATATTGTTATTATCGAATGGCCCACCAAGATCAAAAACGATCATTCAACATATTTTATGGCAGTTGCACCAATAGGTCATTGATATGCACAAGTCAGTTTATGCCTGCTTTGGCAGCAATATCTCGACAATTTGGCGCATTGTGCTGAGCTGTAGTTATATGCTCATGATCGCATTTTTGATTACCCTCGAGGATAATTATTTTTTAAGAAGATTGCTGGACTTCTCATCATCGCGGAATGGTTCACATAACCTGCTGTTGGGTTACGAATTTTTTCACCACAAAGTTCATGCACCTGAAACGAATAACTGGCTAACTTATCCAAAACTCGACATAAACTAGTAACATAACCAGAGGTCGTGGTCTGCCATATGATTAAGACATATTATTGTCTATTGCCCGGGATAATTTTGAAATTCCTGCTTAATGTTTACGTCACTGAGCTTCAGCCTGGTGTTTCACTGTTGGAATAGTTCCAGAGCTTTATTCACAATTTTTGTGGAGTTTTCACCCACCCCACACTGATCGAATAAAGCATCCTTGTTTTGCTAGGAAATGCCAAGCCGACTTCTTGCATCATTGGTTGGAAGATCAACACCACAGCCGTATTGTGGTCAAGGAGACCGCCAAAGGGCACTTGCGTGTTACATTGAAGGTACCGATGTTATTGTCGACAATTCACATTGCCAATACACTGAATTCCAGAAAGAGAGCTGTGAGGTGCGTGTTTTGAATTGGTATGAAATTATGAATCAATGCTCTGTGTATAAGCAATACATAAATAGTGTTTCCAATATGGAGGTAATTTTGTTCGCCTACTTTACCTCAAGTATGGACTGAAACCTATGGACAGGGGGTATATTCACTTGAATAACACAGAGAGTCCCCGAACTCGTAATAGAACTAAAATAAGGAAAATCGGAATAAAGTTATGCTTCAAGCCAAACCTGGTACACACACTACGGTAGTACCCCAAAACCGAATATAAATCCAAAGCCACATGTAGCCTCTGCCCTACCAAAGTATTGAATGAAATCTGGAGACCAGCATGTCAGTGAATAAAATATAGGAGTAATTCTTCTGTGGATTAACTCAGAAGCCTATTATGATGTGCATAAAGTCTGTATAACATAAAATAATTGATAAAATAAACTGATTATATAGAATTGAGAGAGCAAACAAAATCTTAAGTAAGGTTCAAAGCATACAGAATCTAAATTTGAAGATTTTGCCACAAATAACTGGCACTTGTAACCTTCAAACTCAGGACAATTTGTCATACAATTTGCCCTCTTTTGTAAGATGTTTGTTATTTTCACAGATACCATGTCCGAAAGACTGTCAGTTATCACCCTGGGCGAGTTGGGGAGCCTGTGGAGACAGCACTGTTGGTAGAACAGACGTTGTGAACAGTGGTAAGATATGACATATTAAATTCTGTGTTTCATACAAAAGTACCTGTTTTTTTTATATAAATAATACAAAGTGATACATTTGGCAAAGTGTTTAAATTGAATTCTTCAAAGCTTACAACAAAACTGAGTTTTTTTCTCAAGAGCTTTGATTGTGTAGAATTCATTAGCTTGTAGTGTTTTCTTATCATGAAAAGATAAAACTTGATAAATATTAGAATCTGATCCCACGATTATAACGTCTTATTGAATTTCCTCTCCATTAGAACAAGGGTTAGGTAAGGTTAGTAGCTTATGGCACACATTATCGAATCAGTTTCAATTTCTATCAAAACACAATCAATTTTATCAATTTTTGTTTAACACAACATAGCAATTTGGCAAATACTTGGTCTTCAACACCTCGGTGAGTGCGGTTGAATATTAGCAATGTTAGATTCACTCTCCACGCTTTTTTATGGTGTCAGATTAAATATGTCGCATGTTATCACACTTAGTATTAAACTAGTGGTTCCCATCCGGTTTGTTAAATTCCTCCATTTGACTGTTTTGGAACTCCTCATTCCTCCCTGCCCAAAACTACTTTATTTTTTTAGTCTTCGCTAGTGCTACACACAGCCAGCGCTCCGGTACAGTTTATTATGTGTTTAATATTTAGTATTATAGTAAGAAAAAAATAACTAAAAAAATCTATTAATAATACAGTGAATACAAAACAAAAATTTCATCACAAGACGATATAATTCCTTCCCAACAAGAAGTTACCACTCGATTGGGAAACATTGTGCTAGCTAGACAATTTGGACGTAACTGAAGTAATTGACTGATGTCCACAATCTGACTTGCCCAGTTGCTTTGGCACATCACATAGCAAATGATAGTGTAGTGCACAAAAACACTTTTTTGATGTTCTTTTTTTCTTTCTTGTGGTAGCAGAGCAGCACTGTATGTATTTGTGGCTGCAAGTCTCGTATAGAGCAAATCCGGAACAAATAACTGGCTAACTAACCCCATACTCTACATAAACTGGTAACCGGACGAGAGGCCATGATTCGCCATATGTAAAGCCGTCTTATCGAATTTCCCTCCCCCGGGATAAATATTTAAATTCTATCTTATCACATTAGTAACTATAGCAACATGACAGCTCACAACAGTTTTTGTCAGGTGGGACAAACTACCCCTCCTCTGTTCTGATGGATCGATTTGTCTGGAAAGAGTTAACGTTGCTTTGCTATGATCTAAAACTGCTTTATTGCAAAATGTTCTTCAGTGAATTTGCTATTTGGAGGTTCCAGTAGGAATTATCCAGCGTATCCTAAATAGGGTGAATAGGTTGAAACAGGTAGTTTACTGTTTGCAGTAATGATTATTTTTTTAATGTGAATCAAGAAAGTTGGTTTCAGGTTTTGAATAAATTGGTTTGAATCTGAAAATATACCACTTGCATGAATATCCATTGGGAATGACCTTCAAAAAAGATTGAGCTTTTTAAGTGAGCTTGTTACAAACTATAAGGAGTTGAAGTTTTTCTTATGTACAATTATAGTTTATACGATTCTGATAATAAATGGCATGTGAACTAATGCGTAGGGGTTCTGTGAGCCTCTGAAATGTGTCATTGGGGTTCCGCGCTACATAAAAGGTGCGGTAACATGAATTAGAAACGATGGCATTTTATTTTTCACAGTTGCTCGTCCGCCACCTTGTGGTGAGAACCTGCGTATGAGATACAGATTCTCGAAAAGTGAGTCGGAACATGGTGGAAGGAGATGCCCCGTGCTAGATAATTTAGGATTGGTGAGTGAATATATTGTGTATATGTCAAAATCTCAGAATTACGCATGCATAATTGAGACCTACAAACAGCTTATTTTTTATATGACAGCTTTCTTCATTTACCTTTATTTCATTCATAATTTCTATACTTTTCCACTCCCAACAAGTCCTGTACAAGTGGCCACTGCTAGGTAAATGCTACTATAGTTTGGGAAGAAGGGTATTTTTCTGGTCTTGCATTGAGTACCTAATTCACTGTGATTGTGAATTCTATGTTCTCAGTACTTTATGTGTCTGAAGGACCCATTACAATAAAAAAAGTCACATACAATTATATATCTTTCACGAGCAACCCGTGTTAAACAATAAATTTCTTTATTCTTTTGCTACAGAAATATGACACAGAGCTTTGCCATACTGTTTGTGACTCTTACTACTGGATCCCACAATCCTGGGGAAAATGTGAGATTGATAGAAACGGAGCATTTTCGAACTGCGGAGAAGGTGAGAGTGGGAATTTGTTTGTATTTCTTTATTGGTACTCCCGTAGTGTGTGTACCAGTTTAGGGTTAGAGCATAATTTTATTCCAATTTTCCTTATTTTAGTTCTATTACGAGTTCGGGGGCTGTCTCTGTTAGCCAAGTGAATATACTCCCTGCCCGTAGGCTTCAGTCCCTTTAGACATCTCGATGTAAGATAGGCAAACAAAATTAGTTACCTCCATATTGGTACACAACCTCTTCTGGACAACCCAATTAATTATTCACATATTTTGATCCAAACATGGCTAAGCGCAAGAAGCAGGTATATTTTTAAAAGTCTGGAATCTCCCCAGTCAATTGTTTGATATCAGATTGTGAAATCATAACTGGCAAATAAAATTGAAAACAGCGAAAACTTACAATGCTTGAAAATTTGTCCGAATTAAATAAGTATCTGAGCTAAAAGTCAAATTGTTACATCACTGTTATGTTATTTCTGTTTGACCAAAAATGTCTGTTTGTTACAGATAAATTATTTTTCATAGAAAAAAATTAGAAAGTCGTCCTTCATAGAAACATCTATTAGAAAATCACAAAGTAAAATTAAGCCATGGAAATATTGACAATATTAAATTGATTTCATATTTACAGGTTATCAGTATCGTGAAGTAAAATGCTATCAGACAGATTACGCCAGCGGCTTGACCAACTTTGCTAATGTTATTGAAGATGTCAGGTCATGTGATCTAGAGAGCATGCCATATGGATCTCGTAGATGTAACGTACCATGTCCTGGAGAATGTGTGTATTCTAAGTGGTCATCGTGGGAGAAATGCATGTCAACGACTTCCGTGGTTGTCGAGTCAGAAGGTCAAAGTTGTTCTGGAAGTAGGAAGCGGACTCGAACTGTTTTGAGGAAAGTTGCCCCGGAAACTGGTAAGATCCTTTGAGAACTTTATTTTGACTGTGAGCTAAATTAACATGACATGCTTCTGGTTCAACAACAAGATGTATTACTTAATTGAATTAAAAGTCTATATATTGATTTGGTTTCTGCGACACCAACTACTTATCCTTCTTCTATGATTTTGCGCCGGTGGATCCGTATGCATATATTGCAAGGATGCTGTAGCAAGAGTAAAGATAATTATCCTAAGTGATTCAAGAGTCTTGCTGCACACTACTAACACAAATATATTTCTGTAACGTTTCTTGTGACCAAAGTCAGACTTCCTCAGTCATACATAGTTCAACTATAACAAGAAAAGCAGTTACATGCATATTTAAACAATCAGCATATTTAAACAACTTATATTGATTCGCTGTTTTTAGGTTTCCCGGATTCCCACTGTGATAACGTGAATGCAACAACACAAGTTGAACCGTGTGAAATCAACATCAATTGTTTTACATACAGGTGAGTTTGCGGGTTAATGTTCAGCGTTTTGTCATGTGTTAGGTTTCCCAAGGCACCAATATAAATTACAAGTGTCACTATGTATATAATATTCTAGTAGGGATGTATTTTTAGTGAACATTGGTATCTTGACTATTGATTAGATGGTTAAACTACCAAATCTTCGCTCATGAAAAATACAATTCTCCAACAATCAAGTTGCTAAAACTTGGCTAATATGTATTTAGATATTTGAACCTTGGGTGTCACTGCTTGATAGCCAACTTTGGTTCCCTGCGACTTCCCTTCCCCAGTGAAATGTGTATTCAATGTTATTCGTCTGAACATTGCATGTTAAAATTTTTCATTGGATGGAAAAAATAAACTTATCTATGACTAGATGTAGGACATAAATTAATTAAGTGGTTTAACTACTTGCAAAGCTTTTCAGCTCTGACTCAATGTTTGGTGCAATGTGCTAATTGTTAGGGCATGCTTGCCATCTCACCTCTGATGAGTTCATTAGTTCGAATCCTGTTGAGGTTAATTATGAGCGAGAAGATTGCTAGACACCTCGCTGCCTTAAGATGATTTATATATCTGTCAGTCGGATATCGCTTCCTCCAGCATCAAATGCATGTATTCAAAACAATCTCGTTACCTGTTTTCAACCGGTATACGAACGAGACAGAGGCTATGGTTCTCCATATCTATAATTCATTTTAACAGCTTTTCTCTCTTGGAGGTTAAATATAAAAATCCTATTATCCTGTTCTATGCTGCATTTTTGTATTTACAGGTCCATGTGGACAGAGTGGGGGAATTGCATTCTACCTCTAGGTGGCAGCTGTGGCAATGGAACAAGAGAACGAAGATCAAACTGCATCAGTAGTAACGGACTTCCGGTTCACATCAGCGAGTAAGCCGTAATTGAATAAGCTTAATTTAAGTGCTGGGCTCCAAAAATTCAGGAACAAGTGTTCTTTTGCATCAAACTTGCTAACAACAGGTTTCCTTGTTTTTATAAACCACATGAACTTGTTCGAATCCTCTGAATCCGGAATCTATGGAATATGGGGGATGATGTCATAGTATAAAAACTTGACATCATATTACAAAAATATGCATTAATTACCATTGGCTGGTTCCTTTCTAAAATTAAAAGTTTCCTACATATCGTGTCATCTCGCCTGTTAAAGAAGTAAAGTAAAACTACTGAAATATTATTTGATAGACCAACAAGCTAGCTCTTCTTCTTATTCTATCAATTCATTCAAATCCTTTTCAATTCTCCAGGTGCGTGAAAGTGAACGTCTTGGTACCAGAACCTGAACGCGAACCATGTGGTGTAAAATGCTCGATAGATTGCGAAGTATCTGCTTGGTGTGCTTGGTCGAAATGTGGAAACCCTTGCGATGGAGCAGTGGAGCAGCAGAGAACAAGAAAGGTTTGTAGTGTAGGATTATGTTCACCATCAAGTCAAGTCAAGTTTATATTTTTCAAATATTTTGCAAAAGATTAGGAAAAAAATGATATTTATATTACTGGGGAAAGGAAGACACAGGAAATCAAAACTGGTTATCAAGCAGCGACACCAAAAGGTTTTCAGATTTTTTTCAAAAAGATCTCAGAACTGAACAAAATGCTTTGATTTAGAAGGAATTACAATATTAGACGTCTGGATAATGACACGCCATCTATATTCATGATGATTTGTTTAGGTTTGTCGAAATACGTTTTTTTCTCCTTCGGTGGGAGAACGTTTCAAACTTACTTTTAGGGTTTATTTATAGGGAAAATGAATCAAAATAAAATTAATCTGATAGTTAGTTAGTTATACAGTTATTTCTGTTAGTGTTTCTACCTGAAATGTTAGTAAAGTTTTTGATACCAATATAATTGTATGTGCATACACACCACATCACAGTCACCTTGTTGTTTCTCAGATTATAAGAGAACCATCCATGCTCGGTCGACCATGTCCCGTAACTATAGAAACGACTCCTTGTTCACCCAAACCTTGCCATCGATGGATTCTCGGAGATTGGTCTCAGTGTTCGGTGCCAGGAGGAAACTGCGGGACCGGACTGCAGTTTCGAGAAGTCAAATGCACTCAATATGGTGAGTAGATCTGAGTGATTGTTATTTAGAGTACCGATGTCAAGTGCATTTCCAGCGCTTAGAACAATGGGACAATTGTAGCTGAGCTACAGTTTAGAAAAGTTAAATGCACTCATCCTGGTGAGTAGTTGATGATGCGAGCGATTTCGTCGAAGATAAGTTATTCTTAGTTTCCAAACCCATGCAGGGTATTAAGAGTAGCGATGTCAAGTGCATTTCCCATGCTTAACACAATGAGGCAACCGCTGGGATAATTGTAGCCTGGTGTGGAAAATAACATGAAAACGGTTGAGTGAGCTGTAGAAACGAAATGCTCAAATATTATGTTTTCGGTAGATAATCATTACCTCTATTTTCAGATGGCATCTTAGTAGCTGATTCTCTTTGTCAATCTCAACAAGGAAGCACTGATTTTTGGTTTGCCGAGAATCAACTGCGCAAGGATTGCCAGGTAACTGTGGTAATATCAATACTCCGGCATAAATTCTTTTTGTCATTAATCTCTAATACTATGAATATTTCTGGCCGTGTAAAATTCGCTGCCTCGGATTATTTTTCTTTCATCATATTGACTTGAAATGTTTCAAATCCCTTGTCAATTGTTATTTACTGACGTCTAAGTTCTATAGTTTCAGCAGCTTTGGCGTTCCAATGGTCGTTTGTAACTTTACTCAGAGATGAGTCTCTTACTTTCGACTGAGTGTGTGTTACTTTGCTCAGAGATGCTTCTTCATTTCTGAGCAAATATGCATACTGTACCACTAAACATCTCTATAGTCTTGGTAGCTCTTGGGATTTCCATGGTTGCCCATAATTTTACTCAGATATAGTCTTCTCCAATTCTAAATAAGTGCTTTGAGCCGAGTCTCTTGAAAAATAAAATTGTTGATTTTTAGCATTCTACTGGAAATATCATTGGAAGATAAAATTAAATTTTTTTTTCTGAATGCTGTGCTATGATCATTTAATCGCGAGAACAGCTCATTATGATGTTCATTGAAATTTTATGATTAGGGATTGCTCTGACATTTATGGACCTTGGCATTCTAATATATAAACCCTGCTTTTTTCAGATCACCTGTGCTGGTGAGTGTCACATGACACAATGGTCTCAGTGGAGTGAATGTCATCTACGGTGCCTTAATCTTACGACCCCAGTATCAGGGGTCACGGGAGGAGTTCAAACAAGATCACGAGTCGGTTTTATTATCGGTCAAATAAGTGAGATCGAATGCCCTCCATACGAGATTGGAGAACAAAGTTGCACTCTTGAACTGGCCAAGTGTTTCATCTACGATTGGAAAACTACTGGTGAGTTGTTTTTTCATGAGATATTTTTCAGCCTTCACTTTGAAAATGGTCTCCTTAACAAATAGTTACTGATTTAGAAGAAGTCATTGTATTTATAAGTACAAGAATTTTTCTGGTTCAGCATTGCCTACCTAGGCCGGGGAAGGTTGTAGATCCTGGTCGAGCCTCTGTTGTAACCTTCGATACCAGTAAAGTTAGGTCTGGAGCAGATCTGAACCAGGCCTTCAAGGGCAGAAACGTTACTGATAACAGTTGATGTGCAACTTGAAACTAGCCCTAAACAAGGATAGGATAGGATTAACACATTTACTCCGAGGGAGAGGAAAGCCGATAAGACCATATGTTTGACCATATGGCAAACCACAGCCTCTCGTCAGGTTACCATTCCAGTTAGTAATTTGTTTTTCGGAAGCATGGACTTTATGGCGGAAGATGCCGACCAGCGGTTACGTCAACCACCCTACGGCGGCAAGGAGTCCAGTAATTCTCTTGCACATAACAATCCCGGCATGGGATTCGAACCTGCGAACCCACGCAGAGTAATCAGAGGTGCATATTCCTAATGTTAGCACAATGAGCCACACCACCGCGCCTGTGCAAACAAATATGCTCTGAAGCTCCGCTTTACTATATACTACTTTGGGGTGATTATTAATATTTGTTTTCTGAAGATTCTTTCAGATTTATCATTGTACACCCGATTCAATTTACCAAACCTAGTTTGAACGAACTCACTAACTTTTAGTCCACCATGCCCAGGTATGCTCCAAACTTCAGAAATTTAAAAAGTAATGATAGCAATTGCAACTTGAAACCATCCAAGTCATAACTGTCAGGTAAACAGTGAGACAGAATAGCATTCATAGTAACCTCAATCCAATATTTTCAGCCAAATTCCACAAAGGTAAGCGACCTGTCTGGTGCGAGAGAACAATTGACAAAAAGAATGTGTCGTCGGGATGTCATGAAAGACTGAAGCTTCAGGAGGTCGGTTACAGATTATAGATGAGATTCCACAATTTAATCCATAAACCTTGGTTGCTGTGGTTACCTCGCCCGTCATGCCAGAAATTGTTTTATGAGAATATCAGATCACGTAAACACACTTTGAAGGCTGACTTTGTTAGAATGATATGTTTCCCTTTTTCCTCAGTTTGATTTCGACTGCCTGGCTGGTTTATCGCGTCTCCCTTCACACTAAAGCTTTTAGCCTGTATGTACTTTCTGGCATGCAATAAATATTCTTTTTTGGGAACTCCTTCCCAGTTGAGAAGGCATGCTCTAGGCCAGTGGTTCCAAAGCTTTCCAATATCGTTACCCTAAATTGAATTACTATAAGCTTAATTACCCCTTTTATAAAATAAAATTGTCCGCGTGCAATTTATCAAAGTTGATACCAACAACAAGAACAAAAGAATTCATGAACACAAGAACAACCTCAGTAAAAGGGATAACACTGTTACTGTGATATCAAATCATAAATTGAAGAAATTGTTAAAGTAGTGAACGAACGTCTGAATTACCATCTGAAAATATTAAATTACCCTATTGGGGGTAATCAGCCCCCGTTTGGAAACCACTACTCTAGTCTTTAATATATAAATGAATTAATTTCCACAGGAGTTGTACTGCAAACAAAACTGTGATGTAATTCCGAATTCATACTGCAGCAATGCAGGTGTTTGTAAATGCGACTCCGGGTACCAGCCAATCTCCCACACATCAGGAATTCTTCTCTCCTGCAACGAAACCCAACCAAATGATGATGCTCGCATTGTCAAGGTATGTTTGTTGGAATAATGCTTCTATATGTCATTGGATATTTTAAGATAGGATTGTCATATTTACCCAAGAGACATTTGGCTGCTCAGACCGATATCGGCTTTTCGTCCCATAAACAGTTTATCTAGGGTATGGGATTAGTTAACTATTTAACCAACAGTACTGAAGCTTTGTGATGAGACCTTTCAACATGGCTCTTTTTTATTACTTTTTATATAAGCGTTTTACTGTGAACAAGGCTATGCACGAGCACATGCTAAGAATGGAACTGCTATATTTCAGGCCTGAAATCTTCTTGTTTCAGAACTAACTATCCGGGGCGAGATGGCGAGCATGGGGATACTTATTATAATTTTTTTTTTTATTCAGATTGTAAAAGTCGAAGCAGAACGTCCTGATCAAAGAAGTACAGTTCGTGAGTCGCCTACTTCAGATGACATTCCGCTGGAGACAAGTTCACAAAGTATCAATTATGAAACAACAAAAGATATTGTTATAAAACAATCAGGATTTCTTGATTCGCTGGGAATGCTCACAGAAGATGGACAACTGAAGGTTTGGAGTTATTTTTACAAGACTTTAAATTTTGAAGGGAGGAGACAGATCTTTCCATTTTTTCCCTGGCATGGCTAGGTTTTGTGCTCTCAACTAAAAGTGGAAACAACTTTAAGCAATTATTCCTGTGATAAACTAAAAGTAGAAAATTACAGATGGAAGAGTCGCAAGTTTGGCCCAAAGCAAGGTCCAGAGCCTCAACTAATAGTTGAAAGAGTACTGATGTAAGAGTTGAAAGTTTGCTCAAAGCAAGAAGCATAAACCACTCTACAACAGCGGGAAGCCTAGCAAACTTTTCGCACTTATTTATCTACCACAGAATTCGAACTTGCGAACGTCTGCTGAATCTTTTTGAAATACATTTATTATCAGTAACCCCTCTTTTATTCAAAAAAATGGGAATCGAAACTTTGAACGGATATTCCCGAGATAAAGTATCTACTCAAGATTTCTTTCTAAATTTTGATCCAAATTGTTTTATACAGGCCTGGGTTTACGGAGTTCTTGCCGGACTTGTTATTTTATTCATATTTATTATCGCTCTCATCTACCTCATATGTGTGACCTGTTGTCGAAAGAGACAACCGCCAAGTTACGGACTCTACTCTACACGCAATATTAAAAGTCGAAGCAGGAAACGACGTAATAATAGTAGCGGAAGTAACGTGGGGGTAGGAATGGTTCTGGGAATGGGGAGATTCCCTCCAGCGAACAGTCAAATGACGTCATCAAGCAGTAGAAGTGGATTTTATCAATCAGACCAATATGATGATGTTATATGGAAAGAAACGTGATGACGTAATTAGCATCGCCGGTGGAGCAATATCGAGAAGTGCAATATCAGGGATATACCTGGATCATACAATGTCAAGCTACGGGAGCTTATGGTTATCAGTGTGTTTATAAATACTGTGATAATACAAGGATAATTTCCCCCTAGAAATCGCTTCATCCTTATCAGTCGGTATTGTTAAGTTTGCAGACGGGAAACGTCTTGAAATCTTTCAGCAAAGGATGATATTTTTGGATTCAAGTTGACTTTGGTGCCCTTGCTGTGTTCATCAATTGTTGCAATATTTCTGTATACTAAGAGATTTTGGTATCCATCCCACAGTACTAGAAGGCTGATAAGACGGCTATCACTTACCGGTATCACTTATATAGTAAAATATGACTACATCTATCATCAGTACTACCAGTCCAAGGATTTACGATAGCTACTTAACTAGATAATAGTTCCGGATACATGGACTTGCAATGGTAGGGAAAGCAGAACTGATCAGCCGGTACATGGACCGCCCTGGTGAAAATACCAGCAATCCACCCTCGGAGATTAAACTCAATAAGACTCGCTCTGTTATAGGTTGTGGTGGATAAATAATATTATAAACATCGGCGAACAATTTGTGTCCCAAGTGCTATCTAAGTAGAGAACATCGTCTTAGGATTCGTGTTTTAAGAGATGTACAAATAATAACAAATACCTAATTTAACTGGCTCATTAAACTAGGACGTTTAGTAATGCTCATATGATAAGGAACCACTAGTGGAGCGAATAAGGGAGTTTGGCCCAATGATTATCTGACTCTATGACATCGCAGATTACGGTCACTGGTTTAAATTTGATACCGATACCCAAGGACTTGCTCAGGGTGAAACTGAAAATCCCAAAATATAAAAGATCCTTACATAACAGTGGCTCCCTGTGCAAAGACTTTTGCGGGCCTAATCCGTTTAAATACATTGTATAAAAACAAGCCATCATTTTTCCAGACTTCTTATAAATGCTTGTGACAACGACTAATCAAAAAGCAAGCTGGGATAATTTTGAACTTTGACACCTGACGCATCAAGTGATATTTCGTTTTGACTTGATTCCTTTCTCCAGATCAGTTTATTTGCAAAACTATTCCTGCCTCTATTATATTTATACTTTTTATATTGCATGCCTAATGTATGGAGCATTTGTCATAAATTATATCACAAATCTCGATTTATTTGTGGCTTTCACTGGATTGAAACATAAAAATGGACGGTTATGTGGATAGACGGAGTTGGGATACGAATACATAGTTCAATCGGATGTGTGACAATAGAAAGGATAGGATAGGATTTACATATTTATCCTGGGGGAGAGGAAAGCCGATAGGACGGCTTATCCATATGGCGAACCACGCCTCTCGTCCGGTTACTATTCCAAGTCGGGTATGGGATTAGTTATATTGTTTGTTTTCGGAGGCATGGACTTGGTGGTGGAGGAAGCCATAACCGACCAGCGGTTACGTGAAACAACCAACGACGGCGAGGAGTCCAGCAATCCTCTCGCACATAACCATCCCTGCATGGGATTCGAACCTGCGAACCCACGCTGTGTAATTAGAGGTGCGGTGGCGAGCGTATTCCTAACGCTTAGCCCGTTGAGCCACATCACCGCGCAATACCAAGCAATCACTGCTTGCACAGAACCAAGCTGTTACTTTATTCAGCGCTTCCTAAACTCTGTTATTGGCGCTTTTTTACAAAAATTTGCGACATATTTTAAATGAGAAAATTGAACTGGAAAAATTTATATATATACAGACTGTACGCTACACCAATATCAACAATACTCCCATGACATCGCTGAATGAATATAAACCAAATCAAACCGTTTTTATTAGCTATCCATGCAAACGGGAGCAACAAAAATAAAGCAAAGTTTAAAATCTGTACATATTCATTCATGCCTTTGGCCAGAATGGACATGATAACGGCGAAATGACCATTAGGTCGATTTGTCAACGGCTACCTAACTTTCATCAATGGTAATAGATAACAAATAAGACACGCGTTGTGAAATACAAACAATTAAACCAGTACCCAGTATTGAAAACTACACTGATGTATAGGCTAGGATTTACATATTTATCCCGAGGAGAAAAAAGTCGATAAGACGGCTTAACCATATGGCGAACCACGGCCTCTCGTCCGGTTATCAGTCCATGTCAGGTATGGAATATACCGGTTATTTCTTTTCGGAAACATGGACACAATGGTGGAGAAAGCCGTAACCGACCAGCGGTTACGTGAACCACCCTACGGCGGCGGCGCACATAACTATCCTCGCTTGGGATTTGAACCTGTGAACATATGCAGAGTAATCAGAGAGGCGATGGCAAGCGTATTGCGTATCCAAAATTTGATTTGGGTTCGAGTAACGGTTTGATCTTCACGGAGTTCAAGTGAAAATTTGATTTCAAGTGAAAATTTGAAAAATTGAATTTTCTTGATGGACGAGTCGAAATTTAATTTGTTGGGAGTTTGAGTGAACAATGAGCTACGCTCAGGGATTACTCCTGGAAAATTTTGTCGTTTTTGGACAATTTGAATAGAACTGTTTTAAATTCCAATTCTGTGATTAAGCTTATTTTTTAGTTTTCTGAGAAATAATTTCAGCCTCTATCATTTTAAAAATAATTCGATAACGTTTTTGCATGACAATTTTATTCACACAATGAAGCAAATAATATATCTGCACTGAAAGTTCAAATAATTCATGAATTTCAGATGGAAGAGTCGCAAGTTTGGCCCAAAGCAAGGTCCAGAGCCTCAACTAATAGTTGAAAGAGTACTGATGTAAGAGTTGAAAGTTTGCTCAAAGCAAGAAGCATAAACCACTCTACAACAGCGGGAAGCCTAGCAAACTTTTCGCACTTATTTATCTACCACAGAATTCGAACTTGCGAACGTCTGCTGAATCTTTTTGAAATACATTTATTATCAGTAACCCCTCTTTTATTCAAAAAAATGGGAATCGAAACTTTGAACGGATATTCCCGAGATAAAGTATCTACTCAAGATTTCTTTCTAAATTTTGATCCAAATTGTTTTATACAGGCCTGGGTTTACGGAGTTCTTGCCGGACTTGTTATTTTATTCATATTTATTATCGCTCTCATCTACCTCATATGTGTGACCTGTTGTCGAAAGAAGCAACCGCCAAGTTACGGACTCTACTCTACACGCAATATTAAAAGTCGAAGCAGGAAACGACGTAATAATAGTAGCGGAAGTAACGTGGGGGTAGGAATGGTTCTGGGAATGGGGAGATTCCCTCCAGCGAACAGTCAAATGACGTCATCAAGCAGTAGAAGTGGATTTTATCAATCAGACCAATATGATGATGTTATATGGAAAGAAACGTGATGACGTAATTAGCATCGCCGGTGGAGCAATATCGAGAAGTGCAATATCAGGGATATACCTGGATCATACAATGTCAAGCTACGGGAGCTTATGGTTATCAGTGTGTTTATAAATACTGTGATAATACAAGGATAATTTCCCCCTAGAAATCGCTTCATCCTTATCAGTCGGTATTGTTAAGTTTGCAGACGGGAAACGTCTTGAAATCTTTCAGCAAAGGATGATATTTTTGGATTCAAGTTGACTTTGGTGCCCTTGCTGTGTTCATCAATTGTTGCAATATTTCTGTATACTAAGAGATTTTGGTATCCATCCCACAGTACTAGAAGGCTGATAAGACGGCTATCACTTACCGGTATCACTTATATAGTAAAATATGACTACATCTATCATCAGTACTACCAGTCCAAGGATTTACGATAGCTACTTAACTAGATAATAGTTCCGGATACATGGACTTGCAATGGTAGGGAAAGCAGAACTGATCAGCCGGTACATGGACCGCCCTGGTGAAAATACCAGCAATCCACCCTCGGAGATTAAACTCAATAAGACTCGCTCTGTTATAGGTTGTGGTGGATAAATAATATTATAAACATCGGCGAACAATTTGTGTCCCAAGTGCTATCTAAGTAGAGAACATCGTCTTAGGATTCGTGTTTTAAGAGATGTACAAATAATAACAAATACCTAATTTAACTGGCTCATTAAACTAGGACGTTTAGTAATGCTCATATGATAAGGAACCACTAGTGGAGCGAATAAGGGAGTTTGGCCCAATGATTATCTGACTCTATGACATCGCAGATTACGGTCACTGGTTCAAATTTGATACCGATACCCAAGGACTTGCTCAGGGTGAAACTGAAAATCCCAAAATATAAAAGATCCTTACATAACAGTGGCTCCCTGTGCAAAGACTTTTGCGGGCCTAATCCGTTTAAATACATTGTATAAAAACAAGCCATCATTTTTCCAGACTTCTTATAAATGCTTGTGACAACGACTAATCAAAAAGCAAGCTGGGATAATTTTGAACTTTGACACCTGACGAATCAAGTGATATTTCGTTTTGACTTGATTCCTTTCTCCAGATCAGTTTATTTGCAAAACTATTCCTGCCTCTATTATATTTATACTTTTTATATTGCATGCCTAATGTATGGAGCATTTGTCATAAATTATATCACAAATCTCGATTTATTTGTGGCTTTCACTGGATTGAAACATAAAAATGGACGGTTATGTGGATAGACGGAGTTGGGATACGAATACATAGTTCAATCGGATGTGTGACAATAGAAAGGATAGGATAGGATTTACATATTTATCCTGGGGGAGAGGAAAGCCGATAGGACGGCTCATCCATATGGCGAACCACGCCTCTCGTCCGGTTACTATTCCAAGACGGGTATGGGATTAGTTATATTGTTTGTTTTCGGAGGCATGGACTTGGTGGTGGAGGAAGCCATAACCGACCAGCGGTTACGTGAAACAACCAACGACGGCGAGGAGTCCAGCAATCCTCTCGCACATAACCATCCCTGCATGGGATTCGAACCTGCGAACCCACGCTGTGTAATTAGAGGTGCGGTGGCGAGCGTATTCCTAACGCTTAGCCCGTTGAGCCACATCACCGCGCAATACCAAGCAATCACTGCTTGCACAGAACCAAGCTGTTACTTTATTCAGCGCTTCCTAAACTCTGTTATTGGCGCTTTTTTACAAAAATTTGCGACATATTTTAAATGAGAAAATTGAACTGGAAAAATTTATATATATACAGACTGTACGCTACACCAATATCAACAATACTCCCATGACATCGCTGAATGAATATAAACCAAATCAAACCGTTTTTATTAGCTATCCATGCAAACGGGAGCAACAAAAATAAAGCAAAGTTTAAAATCTGTACATATTCATTCATGCCTTTGGCCAGAATGGACATGATAACGGCGAAATGACCATTAGGTCGATTTGTCAACGGCTACCTAACTTTCATCAATGGTAATAGATAACAAATAAGACACGCGTTGTGAAATACAAACAATTAAACCAGTACCCAGTATTGAAAACTACACTGATGTATAGGCTAGGATTTACATATTTATCCCGAGGAGAAAAAAGTCGATAAGACGGCTTAACCATATGGCGAACCACGGCCTCTCGTCCGGTTATCAGTCCATGTCAGGTATGGAATATACCGGTTATTTCTTTTCGGAAACATGGACACAATGGTGGAGAAAGCCGTAACCGACCAGCGGTTACGTGAACCACCCTACGGCGGCGGCGCACATAACTATCCTCGCTTGGGATTTGAACCTGTGAACATATGCAGAGTAATCAGAGAGGCGATGGCAAGCGTATTGCGTATCCAAAATTTGATTTAAGTTCGAGTAACGGTTTGATCTTCACGGAGTTCAAGTGAAAATTTGATTTCAAGTGAAAATTTGAAAAATTGAATTTTCTTGATGGACGAGTCGAAATTTAATTTGTTGGGAGTTTGAGTGAACAATGAGCTACGCTCAGGGATTACTCCTGGAAAATTTTGTCGTTTTTGGACAATTTGAATAGAACTGTTTTAAATTCCAATTCTGTGATTAAGCTTATTTTTTAGTTTTCTGAGAAATAATTTCAGCCTCTATCATTTTAAAAATAATTCGATAACGTTTTTGCATGACAATTTTATTCACACAATGAAGCAAATAATATATCTGCACTGAAAGTTCAAATAATTCATGAATTTCAGATGGAAGAGTCGCAAGTTTGGCCCAAAGCAAGGTCCAGAGCCTCAACTAATAGTTGAAAG